TTGTCTTTTTTTATCTCCTTCAATACTGTATATCTCATACCTCACCCCATCTCTCCACTTCTACTTGCTATTGTCCTAGTTCAAGGTCTTATCACCTCTTGCCTGGGCTATGGCATTTGTGGGACACCTAGTCTCCATTTCATCCTTTTCTCAACCGTCCAAGGGCTTGCTCTAAAATGGAAAGCTGGCCATGGTAGTCCCTTGTTGAAACTGTTTGGTGGCTCTCCATTGCTTTACAAGATGAAATCCAGGCTCATCAACATGGCACATGACTTCTCTCATGACCCAGCTCTTGCTTACTTCTCCAGCCTGCTCTCCTGCTTCACTCTCGTCTTTGGCTTTACACTACCGCAGCTCTATCTGCTTGTAGTTCCCGGAGTGTATCCTGGGGTTCTTTGCGTCCCAGCTTTTTTGTAGGCTGATCTTTCTCCCTGGTATAGACTGTCCATGTCTTTCTTCTGGATAATCCATTCTTTAACAATCAGCTCAAGCTAGATACCCTTGACCCCATCCTGCTAGGGCTGCATGGTCTCATATCTGCCCATGCCTCTGTCTCGTGGCTAGACTGTGGAGTCTTTGCGGGCAGTGTCTAGGTCTTAGTCATCTGTGTACATGCATAACTTGCTGTGTGCTGGTAGATAACAGGTGCTCAATAAATATTTATAGATTCAAACAGAAGGAACAACAGTGACTTGTTGACTAGTTTGAGTTTCATTTCATCTCCTTTTGGAAGCGTGAGATGGAATAAAATGGCCAAAACGCCATGACCAGAAGGGAGGCAGGAAGGCAACGTCTATGGCAAGCCTGCAGATACAATCTCTTCCTGCAGGATTGAATTCAGTTCAAATGATTAAAACTCTCTTATGATGGAATCTGCTTTTTTGTAGAATGGATTAGTAACAAAGATTTTCTCTAAAGATAGATTTTTCCAGAGAAACAAATTTGAACAATTTTCTCTAAGAATTTAAATGATAAAAAATAATCCTACTTAAAAGGCAAATTGACCACTATCCTTCCCCTTTTCTCTTATTAATAAAAGAGTTTACACAGAAACTCTATAAGAAATTGTGCAAGAGATTCACAAGGATCATTAAAGTCTCTACTAGACATTCTCTTTCACTTTGTAAAATTGGCTATACCCTCAAAATGGTATCACATTAAAATGGACTTTCTGGGGCTCTTGTATATGAATGGGTTTTAGTTGCACAGTGGTGCCATTCATTTTATTTGGCCCATTTATTGCCAAGTACATTCTAAATTTGGCCTTAATTATTTTTCCTTTCACAAAAATATTTTGTGGGATCTTTTTGAACCCTGACTACTTCCTTCTTGCCCCTTAAAACAGAGTCCAGGAGTGTTATTTTTGTTCTCTTCTAATTAAAATAATTGCTTGGTTCCTTTTAACTAGATTCATGCAGTTATTAGCCTAATACATGGATGGGTGCCATGGGGTGCTTGAGAAACAAAATGAAAAGTGATCATGTAGCTTCACATGAAAAAGGTTCTGTGGTGCCAAGGAGCATTATTTCCTTTCAGCCAGCATTTTATAAGGGGCTTTAGTAAACCTGGCCCCCCGTACCCTTACTAAAAGACTATTAAGTGAAAGAATAGTTTTGTTTTCTTTATTAGGTATACAGCTAACTCAGTACGATTTGAAGAGGGGCACTTGATATGCTGGGTATGGCACAAAGACCTGGGGTCTGGTTTTAATCTCTGTCCCTGCTTTGTCTTTAAGAATAACTGCTATTGAAGGATCAATGCTCTGTGTCCTCTCTGCCAGTCGGCATTTATCAGAGGACAGTGGAGGAAGAGGGACAAAAGTGCTTGGATATACATGTTAATCAAGAGTTGTCAGGACCCTGCCTCTAAAAGGAAGTGTTGAAGTAACATTTTTGACATCAAGACTTTTCTCAAAGTTCATGTAGTCCGAGGGTTTGGCAAACAAAGGACCACAGGCTAAATCTGACCTGTTGTGTATTTTTGTAAATAAAGATTTATTGGAGCACAGCCACACTCACTTGTTTGTGTATTGTCTGCTGCTGCTTTTGCACTAGAACATGGAGCAGTAGTGACAGAGACCATGTGGCCTACAAAGCCTAAAAGATTTACTATCTGGTTCTTTATAGAAAAAGTTTGCTGACTTCTGGAATAGTCTATCAAATTCATTGAGTATCTACTAAATAACCACTCCATGCTGAGAAATATACTTGTAGGAATTTTTGCAGTGGTCCTCATTTGATGAAATGCTGAGGGTCTTTGGTGATGTGCTTATGTTATGGGTGTTCAGTACAGGTGTATAGATAGCAGGAAGTGAGAAGGATTTGGGTAAGAAATCATGGTTTGAGAAAGGCTCTGCCCTTATTGTCTTAGTGGCAAGTTACTGATCATGGCTGGGCTCTTCCTTATCTGCTACCTGGAGGAGAAGGTGTTGACACGGCTGGAGCTTCTGGCTTGGAGTGCACCTTTATTAACTACTTCAAGACCTTATGGTCGGCATTGTGGATTTCTGCTTCCAGGCCAAAAGATGGGTGCCCTTTGCCACCAGTTGGTGGTTGGGAGGGTACATAAAGTCCTAGGGAATCCATATCAGAGAAATATTCCAATATGAATTGTCCAATTAAATGACATATATTAAACATGCCAGATGTGGACTTATTTTACCATACTGTTAAATACAGTCTTCATTCAGATTGTATTCATTCGTTGATGTGTCTTGTAATTTTTGAAATGATGATTATCAAATGTGCCTGCAGGAAGCAGCTGCCACCAAAATATTGAATTTGCCTTGTCATAGTAGGAGAAGTGAAGTTCTTGAAAGTTTCTGTTTTTGATACTTGCCCTTTTAACAGAGAAGTTTGCCAATATTTTCCTCATATTCAATGTTGTTGGTTATTTGTTCTCTTCAGGTTTATCTGTGAACGTAAAAGTCATATGATTCTCTGAAACAAAGATACCAATGAAGTTGCTTCATTAAAAAAAAAAACCAACCTTCCAGAATCTTCCATTATATACAGTTGTTGCCTGCAAAGAACTTTGAGAGGTACAGTAGAAAATATTACCTTATTCTCCTCTTTCCCTCCAAATAAGTCAGTCACAGCCCTGCTGACTGGATTTGGGTGGTGTTACCTGATTCTGCAATTCATCCATCAAGCTGTGTTACTTCTCAGATATTCCCAGGACCCAGAATGTTGTTGTTTTAAGAGATTTAATTTGTTTCAGCACACAAAAAGCATATTCATAGCAGGACTTAGCACTGATACAGATGACACTTTTCATCTGTAAGAAATTTGTGTTAACTAATTTATTCAACTCTCTGTAATGGAGTGAATTTTCTTCCATTTGCTGTGGGAAACCCTTCTTTTTCTAATTCTAATCTTTTAGCAGGTATTCTACTGAAAAATTGTCACCATGCTGGAAATATTTTGTAGAGGGGAAATAAATCTTTCAACACAGTGTAAGATTCCACTGAAATAGATGATCTCCATTTCCTTAGTGTATAAGCCTATTTTTAAGTGATTAAGCAATGCTCTGGAAAGAAGTTAAATCCCTTTGAAAACTGTGGGAACTATTATTGTATTACTACTGCTATTTCTACCATTACCATGTGCAATGTTCTTAAAGGTTTACACATATTACTCTGGGTTCCCCAGAAAGGAGAGCTTGAGGAAAACCTCATGTGCTGTCTCTGTAGTGGAGAGTTCAATTCAAGAGTAGGAGTTTGGGAGAATGGTAGTGAGGCTGAGAGGAAAGGAGCAGATACAGGTGTGTGTTATTGACGTGGTCCCACCCTGGCATGAAGTGTAACCGATTGCTCAATCCTCTGGGTTGTGGTAGGCTAAATATTGGCCTCCAAAGAAAGGTCTGCATTCTAATTCCTAGAACCTGTGAATGTTTCCTTATATACCAAAGACTTTGCAGATGGGATTAAGGATCTTGAGATGGAGAGATTTCCTTGGATTATCTGGGTAGGTCCTAACTCCAATTGTAAATATCTTGATAAGAAGGAGGCAGAGGCAGAGGCAGATTTGACACAGAGAAGAGGAGAGGGCAGTGTGACCTTGGAGGAAGACGTTGGAGTGATGTGATCATAAGCCAAGGAATGTTGGCAGTCAGCAGAAGCTGAAAGAGGCAAGGAAAGGACCCTCCCCTAGAGCCTCTGGAGGGAGCACAGCCCCTGCTGACACCTTGATGTGGGCCCAGCGATACTGATTACAGACTTCTGGCCTCCAGACCTCTAAGATAATACATTTCTGTTGTTATAAGCCACCAAGTTTGTGGTAATTTGTTACAGCAGCCAGAAGAAACCAATACAGGGACCATCCTCCCAGAGCATAAACTATTACGTTTCAGGATAGACTGATTGGGTGGAGGGAAAGGAAGGAAGGGAAAAGAATTTATTTACCAGTTCCAACCTCTGAGTGGTCAACAGTTTTCCTCATGAGACATTAATACTCCTTTCTTCCTCCCTCTTACCTCCGGGTTGAGCATGGTTGGGCACTGAGTTTTGCTGGAGTGTCTCGTGCTTCAGGGGTAACAGGGAAGCCCCAGGGTGGGAGGGCAGAGGCCAGTCAAGGGGACACAAGAAGAGGCTCCGTTGGGTTGCACCCTATGAAGTGTGCTGTGTGGGATCTGGGGTGAAGCGAGAAGCTGACAGTCCAGAGCAGTGTGGCCAAGTCACCACCTGAGAGGTGACATATAAGGGGGTGTGAGGCAATTAGACCCTTAGTCCTCATCACAAGCCCGTGAGGCAGGTGTGAGATGATATCCTCAGCAGGCACTCAGTCTCCAATCTTGAACACTCTTAGCTTTTGGAGCTCACTCTCGCTCAGGACTGCTCGTCTCATCTGCAGATGCAGTAACTGAAATCTCTTCCTTCAGTTGAGTCAAAATCCGCTTCCATGTAGCACTCCACAATTGGCTCTGGTTTTACTTCTTCCTGCACGTAAAATAAGTCTCATTCTTGCTCATGAAAGCCCTCTCCAAATATTTGAAGACAGTTTTCATCCTTTTTTCACCTACCAGGCAAAGCACTCCCCATTTCTTCAACTCCGGCATTGTGTAGGAGTTTTCTTTCTGTGGCTGGTGGCCACACCAGTCCCTCCTCTGGACATGTTGCAGCTTGTTTCCCTCCCACCTCACAGGGAAGCTCACAGAATGTGCCAGAACTTCAAGTATGGTCTGCTCAAGCACACAAGGGTCTTGCCTCCTGGGTTCTTTTTTTTTTCCAACTTTTTTTTTTTTTTTATTGAAGTATAGTTGACATACAATTTTATATTAGTTTCAGGTGTGTGCCTCCTGGTTCTTACATCACGAATGTAGCAGAGATCGTTTTTTATTTTGTTTTTTGACAAGCACATAATTTTCAGTTGTATTAAACATAGTGTTGATTAAAATGCCCTCTTCCTACACTTGGGTACAGATGACTATATGGAAGCATATGTTAATACTAAAGGTGCCCTAAGAGCACTAAAGAATTAATCAATTTGCAAGTGGTGTTACTGTATGGTAGAGATCAAAATGCCATCCCATGTCACGGCACATAAATATCCACAGTTTTATGCAGAATTGAGGTCAGTTGGTGATTCCTACAGATCAGTACCAATCAGCCATGCCAGACTGGGGAGTGTTCTCAGCCAACCTACGCCACCACCATCCTCCCTCCTCAAAACAACCAACCAGCCAAACCCAATTCTGGAGCACCTTCTGAGCTGGAGGAAGTCTACCCGGGTGGAAATGTTCCCTCTTCTCCTCTCTTAGCAGGCAGCACTGGTCTGAGCTCTGTTCCTGGTCCAATTCAAGTCCTCAAGATCTTCTGCGAGAAGAAGAGCCATTACCGTGGACTAAACAGGCCAGTGTGGACAGTCACTTTACATCCCTTATCTCTCATCTTCACAGCAGCCCTGCAAGGTAGATATTATTGTCTTCATTTCACAGATAAAGAAATTAAGGCTCAATTCAGAGTAACTTTCCCAAGGCCATAGAGTAGCAGACCTAGGGTTCAAACTCAGGTGGGTCAGAGTTTCTGCTATACCATGTGGTAAGCAAAATGATTTTGAAGCTGTAGGAGAGGGGAGGGGGGCCTTTGGACCTCTGCAGGTGGATCGAGCCTGGAGCTGACCCTTCGGGCCCCCTGACGGAGCTGGGTAGCACACAGTTGGCATTAAATGGCTCAGCCTCCAGAGGTTTTCCCTGGGTGACTGGGTCTTCTAGTGTCATATATGTTAGGAAACAAGGCCCTGCCACATTTTGGCCCAGCCTCTGCACTTCACAAACATGGGAGTTTCTCTCGCCCAATATCTATTCACTAAGTGCCTTCTGGGTCTCTTGGGTCAAGCCAGGATAGGAATGGAAGAACAGAGGCTCTTGGTATAGGTCATGCGGCCTGTGAGTGGTAGGGGTTTGGATTGAAGGTCAAGTGTCTAGTTTGCTGCATCTGATCCTGCAGGGGAGCTCGTAACATTTGAGCTTCCTCTGGGCTTTCTACCCAGACCAAGATGTTCTTGAATCCATAAGGTGGGATTATATTTTATGAAGCATTATCCAACATTTTACCTCTAGTTTTCCTTTACACGTTTTACCTCATTCAAGCAACTAGGCCAGTCCCTACTGGTTGTTTTGGGGAAGGGAAGTGACAGTGAAAAATGAGTCTTCCCCTGGTTGTGGCAGATTCTTTAGGCTGACACCCTCAATCCTCTTTTTAACCCCCTTCTAACTGGCTGTTACCTGTGACGGAAGCTAAAAAGCTAAAAGCACAGCTTCCTAGACCACCATACAGATTGGGATGGTCAGATGCCTCCAGTGCTGATCCGTGAAACGCAGGTCATGGTCTATTGTAGCCACTTCTTTCCCTTCTGGCTTTTTCCTGCTTGGAAGGCCTGTGATGCCCAGGGACAGCTGCCGTTGCTAAACAGTGGCCTGGTTGGAGGACAGAAAGAGCCTGGCTCATTGACCGCATCTTTGAGCACTGTGCCAGAATTTTTTGTGTGTGTCCCATAATAAATTTCTATTTGGTCAAGCATCTGTTGTTGGGTTTCTGTGATATTCGTCCAAATGGAAGCCTTACCCAATATATTGTTTTGTTTTGCTACAGCCTTGGTCCTTAGGGGAACAGAAAGGCCTTAGGGTCTTGCTACAGACTCAACATCACAAGTCTGTGGGGACGTTGCACAGTCATGCTGGTGGCGGCAGAGAGAGAAGGAGATCTGTCCTTGCTCTTGTGACACCTGGAAAGAGCTCCCAGGGTGGAACAGGAGCGTGCTCAGGGTGGCTTGGGCGAACTGAGATCTGAGGACCAGGACTGGGTGACATCTCAGTCACCCATCTCTGAATTGACATCTCTGAATTCAAGACATCTCTGAATTGACATGGCATCAAACACTGATGGCCTCTCCCCTGCCAAGTCTTAGAACTAGAGAAGGCCCAGAACTTAGACATGACTTAGGTGAAGGTGAGACCCCCCCCAAGACTGAGTTTCTGTCACCCGTGAAGAATAAGGCTTCAAGATAGAAATTATATTATATTATAAAAAAATATTATATTTTAGTCTACCCGAGTTGTGGACCAAGATTCCCTCCAGCCACATGTTAGGATGAGTAGAACATGTTGAAGCACTTTTTGAAAGGTTAAAATGGATGAGTCAGGCTGGGGTGAACCCTCAGGTCTGCCTGCCTTCCGCTCTTGCGTGGGGGCTCAATATAGGACAGGACCGCAGGGCTGGGTGGTGGGCAGGGCTGCCGGCATTCAGTTTCTGGGAATCTCGGAGCTGACCTCTGTGATGACCCCTTGTTCTCTGTCGCAGTCTGTGAAGTATTCTCAGTCCCGGGACTGGTTCCACCATGCAGGTGGATGCAGGGTGGTGATTCGGGAAGGGTGGGCAGAGAGAGGATGTTTGTCTCTCAGTACGCATGGAAATGTTGCTGAACACTGCTGAGATGGAGGGAGAGAAGTGAGCAGATCGGCTTTTATTTTGAAGATGATTATAATTAAGCCAAATCATTTTCTGCCTTCTTTTAAGCTCGCCACTTTTCCGACTTTCCATTCAATTCAATTCACTTCATTTGAGCAGCAGCAGCACAGCGGTTTTACTTGGGACTCTCTGAGTTGGCTGCCTGGCTTTACGTGCCTCTCTGGCACCTAATAACCGCGTGACCTTGGGCAAGTCACTTCCTGTATCTCTGCTTCATCTGTAAAACAGAGTGAGTAACAGGACCTATGTCACAGGACTGTGTGAGGGACAAAGCCCTCAGAACAGGGCTGCACACGCGCAGTCAGTGCACACATGAACGTCAGCCACTCGGTGTGCCACTCAGTGTCCCGGCTCCCGGGACCTGGTCAGTCTCCTCACCAACCCCCTTGTTCCCTAGGAGAGGATGGGCATCATCAGACGCCAATCTAATGCTTTCCTTCCGACAAGAGCAGCAAGCAACAAGCCCACTTGTATAGCCCTGCCGAGGTGGCTGTTGCATAGCCTCACTTTTTGTGTTTTGTTTGAGAAGAGGACATTTGCTTCAGATCATTCCCCTAGTACTTCCTTGAAAGGTGGCTTCTCATCACTGGCCCCCACAGAAGGGGGCCTCCTGCTCTGCCACAGTAGGGGCTTCCAAAAATTGTTACGTTGTGTCACAGGGTTGAATTCCCCATCAGAAAGTCGAATATAGTTGGAATAAACCTTTCTAAATGAAACACCTAATAGCATCATTTATAGTTAGGCCCTATTTCCTTTGCTTAATTCTCATAGGTTACCTACTGATGATGATCCTCCCCTTCCTTCTGTTCATCTGTTCATCACAGTAACAGATCCTATACCCCTGCCCCCCAGGAGATGGTTCTCCATGACAGTTGGTTTCAATCTATTGTTCAGAAGAGATATATTCCAATGAGCTCCTTCCCTTCATTCATTATGCCGAAATCATATTTCTAGAGGACAGAGATGAATGCTGCGTACTTATCTGATTAAACTGCCTGTTATTTTAAATCTATTTTCACAGAGACTTTTTTCCTCTGATAGACATTCAATGACACAACACATTAAAAATTATATCTGTATCAGTGGTTTCTTCTATTGTATTTATGTAGTGCACACACGTGTGTGTACACACATAGGTGAGCATGTGCTAACCCAGTGGTCCCTTGTTATGATTGATATATATTCAACAATTAAGAAACAATTCCAGTTTTTAAAAAAGCAAGCTTGGATATATATTTTCATTGACTAGTTTAAAAAATTGCACAGTTGTGTAAGACACCAAATACATAAATTATATTAAAACAAAAAAGGGCAAGGAAATGCTATTCCAACTACTCGACAAAGGCTTTCTACCTGAATGACAGATTCTCCATTGTCATGGGCAATTCAGCAGGTCTCTCTTCCAGGCCATTTCCCTAATATTTCTGCTTTTCGGCAGGGCCTGGGGAGAGGAAGGCACGTGTCTCAGTCCTTGCCCATTGCCATCATTAGAACCTTCATGAATCTTTGTGTTCTTTGCCCCCACTTTACCGAAAGACTAACGCCTCCCCCAGAATTACACAAAAATCAATGGCAAACTTAATGGAAATCTGGATCTCTTAATGTTTTTCTCTTTCTTAAGTGATTGCTTGGTTACTGAAAAGTGAGATTTAAGTCAAAGGATGGCTTTAATTGAGGGTGAGTGAATTGGTAAGAGAGAGAAAGTAGAGGTAGATAATTTTCCAAGTGACTGAAAGATAATGTTTACATTTAGGATTTCATTTCCTTTTAAGTTTTACATTGGGGCTTAAGGAATGTTACTAGATGAGAAGAATGACCAAGGCATTCCCATGGCACAGCTCACTGCTCTGCTGTCTCCTTAAAGGGCTAGAAATGCTTTGAAGGAGGTTGGCCTCTTCCCTTTCCTCCCAGGGGGCCAGAGAGAGCGAGAGGGAAGAGAGAAAGACATGGAGGAATTACTGACCACTTGAAGGTGGCTGGCTTCCTTATTTTGATGATTCTCCATCTTTCTGATGATTGAGGTATTCACATCATAGGTACTTGGGCCTGTAATTTGGTTTCACATTAGCAATACTTTTTATATTTATAGGAGTTTATAAAACACAAAGTCAACTCTATTTCCCTGGAGTCTCACATCATTTTGCTGAGGCAAATGGGACTGATATTTTTACCTCTACTTTGTGGAGGGAGAAACTGAGGATCCAATGGATTGGAATTTGTCTAAGACCCAACCAGTGATGCGGGGTGGTGTACAGGTCTTCAGGCTTTTAGGGGAAGAGAAAGGGGGTCGAGGGCCAGGCACTTACCTGGATGGAGCTCCCGATGACAGGGTGGGCAAGGCTCGTCTTCAGCCAGCAGGGACCCATGCTCATCCCTGTAGTGCCCTCGGTTAGTGCCAGTGCGGCCACTGGGTGCTGCAATTCAGAATGCTGGTTCTGACTCTTTGTATCTGCAGCTTCCAAAATATTCAGACAACAGACTCTGAAAGGCATCTGGTCAAGCTTTGCAAGGAGAGAAAGCTTATCCTCTGATTCCCGAAGCCCTGAAGTCAGGGATTTGATTATGCTTATCATGATCTCAGCTTCCCCCGCTCCAAATGTGATTAGTTTTGTAATTAGTTAATGTCATTACCTGTCATCAAATCCAGACAACGTTGGTCTCTAAAACCTCCCGTGGCAGAGAAACCCACAACCTGACATCTTTCCACTGTTTAACACAGAGTTTCTTTAATAATCCTGGCAACTGTCCCCTCATTCCTAGACCACAGTCTGAAAGTTAGGAGGAAGATGTATTTCTTGTATTTTTTTAAAGCGATTTAAAATTCTTGGGTCCACTTCCCAAAACTTTTCTTCACTCCAAGCAAAGCATAAATATAATCTTTTCAGCAAATCTTATACCCCACTATATTTTCCTTCTTATATAGGTTGGCTATGTTTTGCTTTGGGCAGAATGGCCAAAATAAGAACGAGTTTACCATAGGGAAACACTCCGTAAGGACTCTCTTTACCTTATATAAAATGCTGCTTGTCTTGTAACTGACTTGCTGTTAAATACTGGACAAATGGTTTTCTTCTTTGCTCCTCTTTGGTTCAACAAATAGCCTCTGAGTGCCTATTTGTGTCCAGGTACTTGGGACACAGCAGGGAACAGACTAGCTGAAGTGCCTGGAGCTTACGTTCCAGTGGGGAAGGTAGATAACAGGATGTGAAGGTTTAGATGGAAGGTATATAGTATGTGGGCTGGGCATTTTCCGTTTGCCCCTCCGGACCCCTGACCCCTCTTCTGTCCGGCTATGTGGAGAGAGGTGGGCCATTAAGGGTGGCATCTGTGGCTCCTCTGCCCGCAGGGTCTGGCTGGGTCAGGAACCGGAAACTGAGGAGCAGGACAGTGAGGTGAGGGTACTGATGCCCTGTTTCCTCTGCCCGCCTGAGGGTGACACAACTGCTTCTCTGTCGAGAGGGAATCACCCCTCCCCGGTGCTGCTTCGCACCTAGGGCTGAGAACTGCTCAGCACAGTTTTGGTTTTCTTAACCCTAATGACGCCTCTGTAAAGAGACCCTTCATGAGCCTCTCCCCTTCACCCAATTGAACGAGCCGTCTGGTTCCCACCGGGACCCTGACTGCCACAGTAGAAGGCAATGCCTGGACAAATGCCATTTATCCCATGCCCTCCGTTCATCAGCAATACTGCTTGTTGTCACCTGCACGCTTTTGGATTAAATGTCATCAGGCTGCAGGCTGTGTTGCTCCCCTATGACTCAATCACCTGTCCATGAGCCAGGTGACTCAACATCGTTATACATTATACAGCAGGAGCACTCCCCTCGCACGCTCTCTGAAGGCAGCAACTGTGTTCTGCAATGCCTGGCCAACCCTCAGCTCCTCCTGTAGTGGGAGGGGGCCACAAAAACCTGCTCCTTCACAGACCAGTTCAGCAAGCTCCCGACAGCCGATAGCCCACAGGAAGGTGTCCCAGCACCGGTCCCTGAGCCCCTTCCCACCCAGCCTGCCTCCTGCTCTGTCAGCCCTACCCTTGCTCTGTGCTCATGGGACCACTTGTATGTTCCCAGCCCGTCCTGCTCGTTCACTCCTCCGTGATAACGACTCAATTCAAGAGTCGTCTCAGAAGCCTTCGCTGGTTTCATCATTTTGAGGAAGAGGGGCTTTATCTTTTTTTTTTTCAAAGATTGTAATTCTAATTTTTTTATTTTCCTAATTATGGAAAAATGCATGTTGACCATAGAGAACATAAAATAAAGAAGTTAAAAAATTTGTCTTACTGTCATATATAAGCATCGTGAACATTTGGTTGGATTCGGGGGGGTGCACACATTTATCCGTAGCTTCGGGGAAGCACATTTATACGTCGCCAGGCCACCTCTGTTGACCAGGGCCTTTTTGTTTTCTAAAGAACTTTTATAGATTCCTGGACTCTTGCCTGCCCAGTTCACACTGGCCTGAACTGTCCACTTAAGCCAAACCAAGTATTTTCCTTGTCTGCTTTTAAGCTTCTTGCTTGGGTTTGGGGAGTGAATCTGGGCTCCGTGCTCTGCAGTTCATGGCATCTCCACTTCTGAAAGTAGAGTCCAAGGATTCAGCTGGCCTGGACTGTGCCTCATGTTTGTGAGTGGTTTTTATACTTATCACGTTCCTTTGGGGAGCCTCTGGTCGATGCCATCCGGTCAAGTAGCTCTGCTCCTCTGTTCAAGTTTTCCAGGTTACTCCATAACCTCCCCCCAAGAGACTTCAGTGTGTGCTAAGGCCACTCTAGGGATTCCTGTGCAAAAAGCCTTTGAAATATGAAGTTTCCCATTTCTCTTGATGATAAAAGTGATGCAGAAAGAAAAAAACCCTCAATAACCGCTTCGTTACCTCATGGTATCTATTAGCTTCCCTCAGAAACAGTCCTGAGAGATTTCATGTGGATTTGAGTTGTCCTCTGGGGGAATTTGTCAACAAAGGCCACTGAGTGGATGCCATTCATGGGTACATTTTTTCTTTTTTGTCTGTAATAGATGAAATTAGGATAATGTTCTTCATTTGATAATGCA